ATTTGAAGAGTGTTGGGAATAATGTTTCCCACCCTTGCAAACTCTAAGCCGGGTGGCCTCCAACTCCCGAAATCCCCCAGCCAGCATGGCCATGGCTGGGGAATTCTGGGAGTTGAAGTCCACCCGTCTTAGAGTTGCCAAGGTTGAGAAACATCATTCGAAACACTCTTCAACTCGAAATCCTGGCAGATCTTTGCAGACCGTTCATATCGCTGCACGTGTCTGAGCTTTTTCGTGACGGCAAACCTGATCCTTCACGAAAAAACAAAGCTTTTTATTATTATTCAACCAACTTCTCCAACCAGGTTCTCACCAGAAGCGTTGGGCTCCAACTCTCATCATTTCCAGGGGGTCCACCACATCTGGAGGGCATCTGGTTGAGGAAGGGGGCATGGCGTGCTAAGGGCTATGGGGTCACGGTTAGTACTTTTTCGACTCACCAGTTGATTTCATTGTAGTCGTTGTGAACTTCCCACCAGAAATAGAACCAGATCAGGGTCAGGAAGAAAGAAAAGGTGAGGATTAAGAACCAGAGGCGTTCCCACTGTGAAGACACCAAAAAAAGAAAAGAGACACATTTATTAAATCTATTTCTATTCAAAAGACCTTTCAGCTTCAATCTCCACCATCTCGAGACAGAACCAGGAAAATATACTGCCTAAATCTTTTAGACACCCTCGGCCAGCCTGTTGCCCAGCCCTGGCAACTCCCAGAATTCCCCAGCCAGCAGGGCCACTGCTGAGAATTCTGGGAGTCGAACTCCACACATCTGGGAGTTCCTAAAGATGGAAAAAATGGGCTACGTGGGAGCAGTAGAGACTGAAGCATGGCCTGGTTTATCACTTAATATTAAGCAGTTTCCTTCCTATAGTATTGCAGCTGTAGAATTTATACAGCAGGTGGAAAATGGGCAGTTCATGCAAGAATGGCTTCTGAACACACAATTTATTACTCAGCAAGGCAAACCCAAACAAAGTGTGGTTTCAAAGGGGGTCTAAATCAGTGTTTGTCAACCTTGGCGACTTTAAGACGTGTGGACTTCAACTCCCAGAAT